ACAGCTTCCAAACATCTGATCAGTGTGTTTGGGGCCAAGTCAGGATGGCCGTCCATCAATAGATAGAGTTGGGTGTCATCAGCATACTGATGGCAGCCCAACCCAAAACTCCAGACAAGCTGGGCGAGAAGCAATCCTACAGGAGAATGGCATTCTTGGAGAAGGCTGCCACTGAACCTTGGCCACCAGTTTCTTCACTCACTTGCCTTTCCTCTGCCCCCCAATGCCTGTTCCCTTGATTTTTGCCTGGGTCAGCTCCCCACTTCATATTTCAAATGTTTCCGGACTGCAATTTATTTATTGCATTTCCAAGAATCCAAGAGCCATAGAGTTGGAAGGGACCCTGCTGTCAGGGACTGTGCAGAGGAGGAATGGCAGAGATAGCTTCCCCATCCTGACCGCCTCCAGGGAGGAGGAAGAGGGAGTTGTTGTTGTTGTTTAGTCGTTTAGTTGTGTCCGACTCTTCGTGACCCCATGGACCAGAGCACGCCAGGCACTCCTGTCTTCCACTGCCTCCCGCAGTTTGGTCAAACTCATGTTGGTAGCTTCGAGAACACTATCCAACCATCTCATCCTCTGTCGTCCCCTTCTCCTTGTGCCCTCCATCTTTCCCAACATCAGGGTCTTTTCCAGGGAGTCTTCTCTTCTCATGAGGTGGCCAAAGTATTGGAGCCTCAGCTTCAGGATCTGTCCTTCCAGCGAGCACTCAAGGCTGATTTCCTTCAGAATGGATCGGTTTGATCTTCTTGCAGTCCATGGGACTCTCAAGAGTCTCCTCCAGCACCATAATTCAAAAGCATCAATCCCCTTCATGGATCACTGCCTTGCCGTGCCGAAGGGGCTTGAATAACTCAGAGAAGCTATGAGCTATGCCGTGCAGGGCCACCCAAGATGCATAGATCACAGTGGAGAGTTTTGACCAAACGTGATCCACCTGGAGGAGGAACCGGCAAGCCACTCCAGTATCCCTGCCAAGAAAACTCCATGGACAAAGACAACAGGAAGAAGGAGACAGTATAGATTTACAACAGGGGTTTGAGGGAGGTCGCAGCTCAGAGGCAGATGAGGGGGAAAGTTGGGAAATAATAGAAGAGGAGGAGGCAGGACCGGTACGGCAGCTGGCTGACACGGTGTCTTTAGAAAGCATTCCAGACCCAGCATCTCCCAGAACCCGGCGAGCCTTAAAAGTAGGAGAGCAAAGAGCTCAAAGACAAAGGGCACGTAGCAGCACCCGTAGAAGAGACAATGAGAATGATGAATGAGGAAATGGGAGAGACGGGGTGTGGAGATTCACCTGGGACAATGCCATTATACAAGAAGCTGGTTCTATAACCTCTCTCTGTAATATTGAAATAAAAAAGCATAGTAAGAAACTTTTCCTTGTCTTTATACTTTCCTGGGCAACCAGCCAGGAGCCACTGACAGCATCCTGACACCTAAGGATCACCTAGTCTAATCCCTTGCAGTAGGGAATATGCAACCTGCAACCTTGGCTCTAACCAACCGAGCTATCCAGCTGATATGCTCCACCTTTTCATCCCAGGAGCTCAAGGGTTGGCTCCCTCATCATTTAATCCCCACGACAATCCTGTGAGGTAGGACTAGGCAGAGAGAGAGAGAGAGAGAGAAGTAATATGGATTACTTAGTTACACCTATCTAACCAGTTCCAAATGACCCATCTTACATCTTAATATTTTTGCATTATTGCAGGCACTAAGGTTTCCAGGTTTCACACACACATGCGCATCATGTTATTGTTCTGCATTTGATTTCTATACAGTTCATGATTGGCAACTGAACGTGTGAACGGATTCTGTTGAAAAGCTATGCATTTCATATAATGAGAGACAATAGCCTCATTTTGACATGCAAGAATGAGACGAATTGAGATTTGAACTTGTGACTCTCTTCTCCCCCCCCCCAAAAAAACCCCACCCAATGTTACACAAGGAGTTAGGAAGCTTCTGCTTTAGGGTAACAGTACTTTTCTGTGTCATCTGAACCCATACAAACCATGGTTCATCTTAGCTGCAGTTTGTTGATATAAGTCAGCTTCAAACCAGTTTATGAAGCTTGCTTGTTACAACAAACCATAGTTAAGATTAACCACATTTTAGGCTTTGAATGGCCCTAGGCTCACTGCAGCTTGTTCCCATAATGCCAATCCATTGTTTAGGATTGCAGCTATATGCAGTCAATATGAAAGTTCTGGTGGTGTGATATCTGTGATGGCACATTCGCACATACCGTATTTTTCCGTGTATAAGACAATGCTTTTTGCTATAAAGCAATAGGCAAAAATTGGGTGTTGTCTTATACATGGATAGTGAATGCAGGGGGGGGCGTGCAAGCAGGAGATTGGCAGCGGTGTTTGGGCGGGTGATTGGTGGCTGTGGCGAGGTGGGCAGGCGATTGGCGGCTGTGGCAAGTGGGCAGGTGGGCTGTTGGTGGCGGCGAGTGGGCAGACAAATGGTGGCTGTGGCAAGGTATGCAATCAGCAGTGGTTGTGGCAAGCGATCGGCAGTGGCGGGCAGGTGGGTGAGCGATTGGCGGAAGTGACCTCCTCCACCCCCCAAAAAGCTAATTAATTTCTTAATTTTGGGTTTTAAAAAATTGGGGTCGGCTTATACATGGGGGCATCTTATACACGGGAAAATACGGTACATGCCATCATTGGATTCTGCAGTCATCAGCTGAGGAATATGCATCCCTCCCAGGTGGGCTTCTAAAGCTATCAATTTGTTTTGCCATTTGCCATTTGCCCAGCCTTCACTGCTCCTGCGAAACTGGCAAAACCAAAGCACGCTTCCATTTAACTTCTATTTTTTATTTTTTTTTTGGAAATCCAAATTCAAGCAAACCTAAATACTGCATACCTGGACACAAATCTTGACAGAACTCTAATTTTAAGCAAATTCAGAGAGGAGGAGTTGGAGGAAATAAACTCACCATTTAGGATTCATGTGAGAGTTTGCTTTTATAAACAGAGCCCCTTACTATCTTTTCAGGATTTGTTGATTCAGGATTTCTAACATGATTCGAATCCCTTCTTTACACACAGTGGGGACAGCCAAGGGGCTTTACTTCTGCCTCTTTGCTCATTATCAAGAAGCGCTGGTCCCATGTTTGATTTCGCTCGCCACCATTTGGTCTGACTGAAATAAAGACCATGATGTTGTTTGCCCAGCTACTTTGGGAAAGATGAAAAGAGGCAGATTTTTTTAGCCTGTATGCATTAAGGGGCATTTTAACCTCTTTTTGAATTTGCTTCAGCAGGTGATTTAAGCCCACTGATAGTATAAACGGATCAGAGACTGCAAGAGGAAACAAATGCTTTTTATCAGGGCCACGGGCTGCCTAAAACACTTTTATGCGCAGGCTGTTGGGTCTAAAAGCTTTTATTTTATTAAACGTCCCCCAAGTAGAAGGCTGTGAAGTATGCATCTATGAAAAATGTTTTAACACATTTGTGGCTTCAAAGTGATAAAATTCAATGGGGGGAAAAATACTAAATAGGACTCTCTCTGTCAAACACATCAAGCTGTCTGTATGCCTGCAGTGCAGGATGAAAAACAAAAGATAGTAAGAATTATGTGAGAAAGGTAGTAAACCTCAGAGGGGATAAACCTCCAGGAGCAGATGGCCGTCAGCCTTAGATACGACATGCAAACCGGAAGAGTAGCAATTAGCTGAGGATTTGATTACTAATAATCTGACACAAAACTGTGGGAATCCTTTAGCCCGTGGAAGCAACAAATATGCAAAACACAGAGCTGTGGTCTATTAATGCAGTATATAGGGGTGTGTTCAGAGAAAGTTCAAGTGTGCATTTAAAAACACACACCTCCAATTTCACTGTAATTACAGGTCTGAAAATGTCAGCTACAGTATACTATCCAGAGATCATACACCAGCACATCCTCCAATATTGTATATGCCATCACCTGCCAACCAAGTCTTTCTTTGATTTAGGGCCCAGCAACACTTCTGTTTGTCCTGTGATTTCAAGTGATTTTAAGTCACAGGTCCGAGAGATTCCTGCCCTCCCCGCCCCCCATTTTCCCTGAGAAACCTCGCTCTTTACTGCTGAATCTGAACAAATGTAAACCAGGTTTTCTGCAGATTGACGTTTGTTTGGATTCAGCAGTAAACCACAGGTTTTGCGTGTGGAGGTCCCCAAGTCACCCCTCAAAATAATTCACAAATCACACATAATTTTAGGTCAAGGTTTTTGACACTATTTTGGCCACAACTTTATTAAAATACAAAATCTGTGAGTGGTTGCTTAGACATTGGTTATGACCATCTGTGCCCCCGCCTGGGACAGAACTGACTATCCGAACTCCATCGGACGCCAGTGAAGGGAAAACAATGTTGGGGATCAGTTGAGCTGAGCGTCAGTCCCTCACCGCTCACCCAACCAGCTCCCCAAGGCTTGCCAGCCCTGGTCCCATTTCAGTCGTGGCAAGCCCCTGGATTCCTTAAACGGAATTCACTTCCAGCACCATTGGAGGGGCAGGCACAGCCTATCCTGACCCCTCCACCACCAATTTTTATAACCAATGCCTAACCGCAACCTTACAAGTTGTGACGAATTGCTAAGTAGTAGGCAAAAACCAAGTGGCACCAGCCAATCAACCAAATGGCAAAATTCCTACTAGGCCCCTGCCCCAAGGCAGACGACCCCATGACAGGCAAAGCAAGGTCAACCGGAACACAGGGCGGGCTGGCGGGTGATCCAATGCACTCTGCGAAAGAGAAAGCAAAAGCAGTGTGACCCAATATTTAAAACCTATGGTCCCACCCACCCAATTTGCTACATGCAATTTGCCCCAGCAACCCGGTCAGCCAATCGTTGCGCCAGGCAATACCCATTAACCTGCCTGGCAACAGGAAGTTGCCCCCACCGCAACCCGTGCTCTCATTTTAGGGAGAACACACTTTCTCAAAGAAAGCAGCAGGACAAAAGCAAAGGCTCTCAGACCTACAACTTTAAATCACTTGGGCCATTGGGATAGCTCAGTTGGTAGAAGATGGGACTTAATCTCAGGGTTGTGGGTTTGAGCCCCATGTTGAGTAAAAGCTTCCTGCATTGCAGGGGGTTGGACTAGATGACCCTCGTGGTCCCTTCCATCTCTACAATTCTATGATTCTTTGGAACAAGCAGAAGTGTGGATAGGCCCTTACCTGGGGCAAACCAAACATTCTCTGGCCGTGAGAGTTAAGAGATGCACATTGGACATTAGAGACAACAATGCAGAGAAACCAGTGACTGAACATTTAAGGCTTCCTAAGAGTTTAGTTTCCGACTTCATGGTCACTCTATGTGAGCAAAGAATGTTTAAGGGATGGATGGAATATGAGACTGCTGAAACAGAGGTGATAAATTTCATCAGGCCTCAGCCATGGCCGGGTTGGCTAACTCTATGCAATGGCAATGATCTCAGATGTGGTGTCATGCTAATTGGGTCCCAGCTGGTAAACTTGGGGGTGTGCCCAGACCCATCTGTTGGCTTATTGAACCCATGTGAATAAGTCCCATTTCCTTCCTTCCGTTGATTGACTCCTGTGTTGCAGAGATCTGGGGGTTTTTTTAATGTGCTCATTCATATGTGGCATACTGGCCCCCATCCTCGCATCAACACTGAGGGTATTGACTTGCACAAAGGCACCCTGTGTGCTTCATAGCTGGGGGAGATCGCCAGATGCTGCCATCTAAAGGATAATCTCATTAGGGGGTACACAGAACCACCAACCAATTCATGAGGGGGGCAACAGGGTCATGTCTACCATCTCCCTCCCTTTAAAATGTAGGTGCTGACCACCAAGGTCCTCACATTCAGCACAAGTGCGAAAGACTATGCATGGGTACAGGAAGTAGCCTTTGGGCACACATCTGTAGCCTCCTGGAAAAGACCAAACTGCGGGAGGCAGTGGAAGACAAGAGTGCCTGGTGTGCTCTGGTCCATGGGGTCACGAAGAGTCGGACACGACTAAACGACTAAACAACAACAACTGTAGTCTCCTGTGTCTCTTTCTCACTGAGGCCGAGCACACGGTTGACAGGCACATGGCCAGTGTCTTCATCGGTGTAGGGTGAGCACAAGGCCACTTCGCTTCCATTAATGCATGAGGAGTATCTGTGACTAGGAGCTAAACCTTTTCCCTGCCCATTGTACCCCAGCCGCTAGGAACCAATGCTTGTCCTTACCACAAAGGCCCATTTTGTATTGGACTATGATGGAATGAATGGGATGGTGCTGTGGGTTAAACCACAGAGCCTAGGGCTTGCCGATCAGAAGGTCGGCGGTTTAAATCCCCGCAACGGGGTGAGCTCCCGTTGTTTGGTCCCTGCTCCTGCCAACCTAGCAGTTCGAAAGCACGCCAAAGTGCAAGTAGATAAATAGGTACCACTCCAGCGGGAAGGTAAACGGTGTTTCCATGCGCTGCTCTGGTTCGCCAGAAGCGGCTTAGTCATGCTGGCCACATGACCCGGAAGCTGTACGCTGGCTCCCTCGGCCTGTAAAGCGAGATGAGCACCGCAACCCCAGAGTCGGCCACGACCCTAAAGGGTCAGGGGTCCCTTTACTTTTACCTTTATGATGGAATGAAGGTAACCACCTTCCTTCCTTCCTTCCTTCCTTCCTTTCTTTCTTTCTTTCTTTCTTTCCCTCTCTCTCTCCCTCTCTCTCTGTCAGGATGCTGTCAGCGGCTCCCAGGTGGTTGCCCAGAAAAGTATAAAGGCAAGAAATAATAATAATAATAATAATAATAATTTATTATTTATACCCCGCCCATCTGGCTGGGCTTCCCCGGCCACTCTGGGCGGCTTCCAAAAGAATATTAAAATACTATAATACATCAAACATTAAAAGCTTCCCGAAACAGGGCTGCCTTCAGATGTCTTCTAAAAGCCTGGTAGTTGTTGCTCTCTTTGACATCTGGTGGGAGGGTGTTCCACAGGGAAGGCGCCACTACCGAGAAGGCCCTCTGCCTGGTTCCCTGTAACTTGGCTTCTCGCAGTGAGGGAACCGCCAGAAGGCCCTCAGTGCTGGACCTCAGTGTCCGGGTAGAACGATGGGGGAGGAGACGGCTCCTTCAGATATACTGGACCAAGGCCGTTTAGGGCTTTAAAGGTCAGCACCAACACTTTGAATTGTGCTCGGAAACGTACTGGGAGCCAATGTAGGTCTTTCAAGACCGGTGTTATGTGGTCTCTGCGGCCGCTCCCAGTCACCAGTCTAGCTGCCGCGTTCTGGATTAGTTGTAGTTTCCGGGTCACCTTCAAAGGTAGCCCCACGTAGAGCGCATTGCAGTAATCCAAGCGGGAGATAACCAGAGCATGCACCACTCTGGCGAGGCAGTCCGCAGGCAGATAGGGTCTCAGCCTGCGTACCAGATGGAGCTGGTAAACAGCTGCCCTGGACACAGATTTGACCTGTGCCTCCATGGACAGCTGTGAGTCCAAAATGACTCCCAGGCTGCGCACCTGGTCCTTCAGGGGCACAGTTACCCCATTCAGGACCAGGGAATCCTCCACACCTGCCCGCCTCCTGTCCCCCAAAAACAGTACTTCTGTCTTGTCAGGATTCAACCTCAATCTGTTAGCCGCCATCCAACCTCCAACCGCCTCCAGGCACTCACACAGGGCCTTCACTGCCTTCACTGGTTCTGATTTGAAAGAGAGGTAGAGCTGGAATCTCTAAAGTTTCTTACAGTTCTTTTTCATTTCAATCTTTACAGAGAGAGACTATGGACCCCAAATCCACTGCCCCTGTGGATCCTGATACCTGAGGTGGCCACCTCACTTTCATTTATTTTATTTATTAAATGTCTATACCGCCATCATCTGAGGATCACAGGGTGGTGTACAATATAAGAACACAAAAATACATAACACAGTAATGAATGAAAACAATAACCCACTCCCCACAGTTTCAAAAGCCATAGATTGTTTAATTAGCCAAAGGCCTGCTTGTGTCAGGATGCTCCTGGCTGGTTGCCCAAAAAAGTATAAGACAAGAAAAGGTTTCTTACGCTTCTTTTTTATTTCAGTTTTTACAGAGAGAGGCTATAGAACCCAGCCTCTTGGATAACAGCATTGTCCCGAGTGAATCACCACCCACACATCTCTCCCACTACCTCATTCATCATTCTCATCATGTCCTCTGCAGCTGCTGCTATGTGCCCTCTGTCTTTGAGCTCTTTGCTCTCCTACTTTTCAGGCTCGCCGGGTTCTGGGAGATGGAGGGTCTGGAATGCTTTCTAATGACATGTCAGCTGAGTGTTGTTCTGGCTCTCCCATGATTTCCCAGCTTTCCCCCTCATCTGCCTCTGAGCTGTGACCTCCTGCAAAGCCCTGTTGTAAATCTATACTGTCTTCCTCTTCCTCCTCCCTGGAAGGGGAGGCGGTCTCCACCACTCCTCCTCTGCCCAGTCCCTGACACACTCTCTCTTTCAGAACATGAGAAGTTGAAACCAGTTCTCCCGTTATCGTTTAACACTATTCCACACACACACACCATTTTGAAGGGACCTATAAGATTCAGGCTGGTACATTTTGTATTATTTGAAACAGAGGCCGGGCCATGGATCCAAAAAATTCTTCACATAATTTGAAGAAGAAAGATGATATGAAAGTTACACTGCACTGGAGTGGGGGGTTTTTTCTCAAATAGTAATGTGAACAGCAGTCTGAACTCAATGTTGCCTTTGACAACATGTTAATTGAATCTATACTGACCATCTTCAAATACTGGGAAAGGTGGAGAGTGGCAAGATTGTTTATTCTTTTAATAAACGAGGGAATCAAAATGTGCCAATTTATTCACTCAGGCAAGCGTTTAAAAATAAATAAGGCTAATTTGGCGATGTTGTCAAGATTGTGACATACGTTTAATAAGCGGTTTTTTAAAAATGAATGATAAAATATGCTAAACATATTGTGTTCTTGTACACAGTCCCTATGAGAAGTGCTGCATAGAAATGCATGTTTACATCTGTGAAAGAAAAGATCAGATAAGTTCACAATTCGTAAGGATTTTATTTTGCACATGTTGATCCATGACCTCCCCTTGCATTTTGAGGAGGGGGGTGAGGGTCTGAGGGCAGGCAAATTAGAATGACATGAGGTATATTTCATAATAAAACTCTACGGCTTAGATCCAGACCGTTTCTTCTGCCAACAGGTGTGTTCCACTCGTGGGTTGTTCACACGCAGTGGGAAAAGTCTGGCTCTATCCCTATGTCTTTATCATAAACTATATCCTGACATTCCATTTTGCTGGCATTCGTCTGTCTCGAGAGACAATGGCATGCACCTCAGGAGTGGTCAAACCGCTGGAGAATCATGGCGGAAATGACTGGCAGAATCCGAGACCAGGGAGAAGAGTCGGTGGAAGAAGATTGGAAGAAATTTAAAGACTATTTACAGAAATATTGCAAAATTAATGAATATTAGAATGATGTTGGATTGAAGTTAAGTGGTTTCTAGCTGTAATGGTAAAAGAATATGGAAAAATTGGATTTTCAATAGGTCAAAACTTAATGCTATAATATATTAAGATTAAAGATTAGGATAAAATAAGGAGGGAAAGGAATTGCTGAACTAATATTGAACTGGAATACAAAAAAGGGAGGCACGAGGAGGTCCGGGAAACAAGTAAATGAAAGGTAAGTGATGAAAAGATGGAATTGTTTTTAACTGGTTTTTTTTGTATTTTGTATTTTTCTTTTTTCTATTTTTCTTTTTCTTATCAATGTAATTTTTTTTGGAAACTTTAATAAATATCATTAAAAAAAAAAGAGAATCACAGCACCTGCTGTGGCTGCAGAGACCACAGCACTTGTAACTGCTGCCTCCTGCATAGTTTTTCTTGTCTTAGCAGCACCAAAGTGATCCCTCTGGAGCGCAAGCCTGGGAAGTGTGTATGGAGGTCCTGGGCTGCGCAGACGACAAAATTCACTGTCCTATACTGAAAGATTTTTGGCAGAAGGTAGCTGAAACCATCAATAGAATTGTATGGAAACAACCTTACATTTACAGAGCAAAATATCCTCTTGAATTATATACCCAGAAC